TACACCTACACTTACACCTACACCTACACCTACACCTACACCTACACCTACACCTACACCTACACCTACACCTACACCTACACCTACACCTACACCTACACCTACACCCACACCCACACCCACACCTACACCTACACCTACACCTACACCTACACCTACACCTACACCTACACCTACACCTACACCCACACCCACGCTATATATATATATATATATATATATATATATATATATACATCAATCATTTGTTATCGCATTAGTCATATAAACCCAAGATACGTGACTACAAACCGCCTTGTGTCATAGCCAGCGTAAAAATAAACACATCGTCACACGGAAATCCACGAGGAGCCCTACATGGCAGACGCCCACCAAAGTTCTGCTGGATCCCTGTGTGACTTTCTCGCGGGGCCAGTAGCCGTCCATAACCCAGACCACCATTGAGGGTGGCCGGGCTGAGCTACGTCGGCGACCGTGACCCCGCCCATCCCAGTTCCACAGCTGTACAAACGCACTGCCTGCGCCGTTCCCCGCCCAAGACACACCGCCTGAGCCGCCGTCACAAACTCCGACTGCACGCCGCCCGCCAGCCACTGGCGTCAGCAGAAACATACGCAATAAACACATCATTTTCGACAAAAGACGGAAGAAAAACACGGTTATAAAAAAGAACACAAATTCATCCTACGAAAGACCGACGCTTTGAAAAAGCATTGCTTGAAGACTTTACATGGTATCTGATCCCAGTGAATGCCAGCAATTACCCAGGGCTAATTACTTCAATATCCTGGCATGTGAAACATTCCTTTCAACCACTGCACGTCTAGGAATCTAGGAAACCAGAGGTACGGTGTTCGATTCCTGCTGTGCCCGCCCTTTCTGCCAGGTTGAGAGGCAGGCGACGCCATCTAGCCTCAGCAGCTGAGTGCGTCGTAAAGCCCCAATGACGAAGAAAGGTGGTGTGGCCTTTGAAGCTGTGAAGCGTGGCCCATCGTTCTACGTTCAGATAAACACCTATCCACATACGTTCTTCACAAGTGGATTATAAGGATCACGACAATCGACCTATGGAGCTGACGGCTAGGCCCACACAATGTCATGCCACAGGCCGTCAGCGTCAGTGCCGGATCAGCCTGGAGGAAGACAAGTTGAGCAGACCTCTGAGCACTGCGGGACTGACGAAGGACAGTGAACGAAGGACAGTGAACGAAGGACAGTGAACGAAGGACAGTGAACCTTCGCAACGTTTAGGCTTTACATGGGGACTGGCCGCAATTTGATATGAATCAAGTGAAGCCAATCGTTACTGGAATCCAAACGAGGCTCACAAAAGTTTTCCGCCTCTAGGAATCAACTCAGAGACCGCGTCCTTCCCGATTTCCACTGGGCCTGTTGAAAGGACCAGCAGCTGTCCATAACCCACGGTCGCGGTCTCCATGCCGTCATTCAGGTCCGAACAGCTGACCCCTCCCCACCCACTGACGCCCACACCACACCCTGCCCTCAGCTCCCCCACAGCCTGCGCCGTCTCTGCTCAACACATACGCGCCCGCACGCACGCACGCACGCACGCACAACCTGCTAAACCATCGCAACAAATACACACCGTCACACGGCTGCAGCGGGCCCCAGACTGGGCGGGCCACGGCCGGGGGGCCCGGCGGCCGTGGCCCGCCGGCCCACATCTGCTGATGCTGCCCGATCGTGGAGAACAGCAGGGTGGTGCGGTGTGGCGGGTGGGGGAGCGGCAGGGTGGTGCGGTGTGGCGGGTGGGGGGGGGGGGGCGGCAGGATGGTGCGGTGAGGCCGGTGGGAAGAGCCGTAGGGTGGTGCGATGAGGCCGGTGGAGAGAACGGCAGGGTGGTGCGGTGTGGCCGGTGGAGAGAACGGCAGGGTGGTGCGATGAGGCCGGTGGGGAGAGCGACAGGGTGGTGCGATGAGGCCGGTGGGAAGAGCCGTAGGGTGGTGCGATGAGGCCGGTGGAGAGAACGGCAGGGTGGTACGGTGTGGCCGGCGGAGAGAACGGCAGGGTGGTGCGGTGTGGCCGGTGGGGAGAGCCGCAGGGTGGTGCGGTGTGGCCGGCGTGGCAGCGATCACGCCACCTTTCGACGTAACTGGGCTTTACGACGCACCCAGCTGTTGGGGCTATGTGGCGTCGCCTGCCTCTCACCCTGGCAGGAAGGGCGGGCACCACAGGGAGTCAAACCCTCGTACCTCCGGCTTCCCAGACTGCAGTGCTTAAAGGAAGCGTTCCACATCTGTGTGGGGTTTTGAACTGAAAAAGCCAGCTGGAATTCCGTGCATCTCACAGCCCTGCCCTCCTTAAGGCTTAAATCCATCTAGTTTCTGAGCTACACGCTCGCAGAGATGTACAGACTATGTCAGTGAGACTATTTCGAGGTCACTCAAGCATTCATGACACAACAACAACAACGCCATTCAAATCCATTCCATTACCCATGCGGCAATAAAGGCCAAAAGAATCATTGTCGAGTTGTTCATGCCTCGTGCCCGTGAGCACGATTTTCAGATATAACAACCGTCAATTGGTTCCCAATCAATGTTGTGCAAGGCACAATAACGCAACCGGACAATAATGTACTGAGGAGCATATCTCCTGAACAGAGAACTTGTGTTGTCTAGAACAGTCTTTTCCAAATAAAATAAAAGTACACTAATAGCTATAAGTGGGATTATTTCACAATATCGTATCCTGATTCATTATCTCCTAATGAAAAAACATTCCCTCCACGCAGGCGCGTTGACCGACTTTCGGCAACCCCAGCAGCACCTTTCATCGAGATTAACATCATCTCAACATTTCGCGCTCAAAAGACGCCGACCCCGGTGCCTTTCTCGGCGGCCTCCACCGTTGCCGGCGGGCATGCGGCACCATCGCCTGGCTTGCGGTGGACGGAGCGCCGACCGCCGTTCTTGCGGCCCCCCGGTGGTGAGGCGTCACGCCGTGCCTGTCCGTGCCGGGATCGACCGGGGTCACGTGACCGCGGTCGTGAGCCGCGGCTCACGGCCGACAAGCCGCGCTCTCGGGGTCAGCGGTGACGGGTGCCGACACGCCGGGGGAGGGGAGGGGGGGGGGGGCAGCCGAGGCAGCCGTCACACGCCTCCGCCCGGCCAGGAGCGGGACGCTCTGGAAGCGTTTAATTACGCAGCGCACCATTTGCGGGCTTCTCCGACGCACACCTAGACGGGGATGGAATGAGGTTGGATTGAACGAGAACCGACAATGCCCACGGTAAGACACAAACCACTTTGAAAGTGGAACCGAGCTGTCAGCGGTCAACTGTTGGCAACATTTCTCAACAATTCTTACAGGCACGCCGAAAACGCACGCTTAGCACATCTCCAGACAGTCACTAAAAAGACTGCACGAGATAAATAAAAAAACGCACGCCGCAGTGTCCGGAACCTCGCCAAGTACAGTTCCTGCTGAATAAAATTAGTGCCAATATAGCTTGCACCAAGATATGCCAAATCTGAGCCGGTCAGCTTTCGTCACAGATCTGGCGACCGATCAGCCTTGGTTATAGCTCTGATTATCAATCAGCCTTTGATGCAGCTCTGGTTACCAATCAGCCTCTGTTACAGCTCCAGGAAGATTGGCTTGGATCACCCAACCTGCCTGTAGAGGCCACCATAACAATAAAATTGGCATTAGCACACCCCACCTATTTTTAAATGGTGTGATACACAAACCCTTTTCAGCCTGACTTTTGCTCATGGTCCGCTCTTAAATAAAAAAATGTCATAATGGTATGTCTAAGGTAAGATAACAGCAGCCATCAGTAAGTATTAGGTCTCAGGTATACCAGCACAAAATTGAGATTAGGTGTTGTTAGATGATGGTAAAATAAGTGGTGATGACTAAAAACTCAGATTCAAATAAAAAAAGGTGGAAATTAGTGGCTTTTATATATGAGAAGAGACAGACACATTGCAATGATGAAGTCCCATCATAAATGTGAAGATAATGATTGACAGCAGCATAGTTTGTAACTTTTCATAGGGGGCAGAAGCATGGCTAGATGGGGGGGGGGCAGGGCCCTGGCACCAATGAAGACAGTATTGTGTGCCACAGCACCTACAAAAGCCCCTTCAGTTATTGTATGGCTAATATTGGGTGCTCACAGGGTTCTTGGGCAGCAAATTAGACAACCCAGGCAGTGTCACTAATGAGTGGCATATTAGGCACAATGGGTTGAAATATGTCACTTATAAAGCTGCTTTATCATTAGATCAGACAACACATGGTGTTTCACATGAAACCTTGGATGCAACAAGTTTTAGCATTTTCAGTTTTGGACTCGGCACTTTGCTTGCAGCATGGCTAGTCCAATCCATGTTTAAATTGCAGCTTATTCTGCAAACTGCATGCTGCAACAAAGTACAACTATGAACTGTTATCAATGCTGTGCCCCACATGATGAATATACCATCAATCCTGAGACAATATAGCACTGGTAATCACATTATTTTGAATATAGATATCACCAATTATAAAGTAACAAAATGTGGCAAGCAAACTTTATTTCCTACAATTATATATCTTCCCTTATCATGCCTTACCAACAGATCTCTGATGTTTATCATGCTGAGTGGCCTATTGCCTATTTTGCCTTTGATACCAAACACCTTTTGCAGAACAACAAGGCACAATAATTATGGGGCAAATACTCAATATTTAGCATCTTAACATATAATTGCCTCAAAAACATTGAGCTATTATCTAGCAAAGGATCCTAATTTTTTGCATATAATCACTACACACATACCATACAAACAAGGACTAAAAAGAGACTATGCAAAACCAAGCCCTCCCATGCCATTATGGTGTACTGGCTTTGACTGATGATAATCTACAGTTAGACCAGCAGCACATGATATGCATATCACACAGAACATCGTAAGGGCATTCAAGGCTTCAAGGACAACACAGAGGAGGACACATGCCCTAGAACAGGTAGCACATGCCATAGCACTGACCTTTCGTACTCTAGCAGGAGATCCGTGTCGAGCAGGATGGGTATAGGCTTCCGCTAGCTGACCAGATTTCTTGGAGTAGCAGCCTCCCATTCAGCCGGCCATAGACAACAGATGTCTGGAGGTCCTGCGTATCCCATCCGTTCGCCGCACCGGCAAAGCAGTGGCTACCTGACGTCAGGAAAAGCAGACTGCTGCTGAACAGGCACCAGGCAGACCACCACACACACACACACTCAACCATACGCCGCCCCATCTAGGCCAACCAGCCCATCAAAGCGCCCATCGCCATCGCCGATGGAAGCGGAGAACAGTTAGGAATCCGCGTCAGCAGCAGTTTGACAAATGGCCCGGTGCCCCAATTGTTCGGTACATGGACGGCCAAAACCGCGAACGCAAACAAGCCGACAGACGTCAGTGGGTACAACAAATGCATCCCTCTGTCACCCACCTGATGGTGTCAACTGAAGCAAAAATAATCCTCGCTTTCTAGCACAAAGACGATGAAAACCGCAAGCGTTCGTACGCCTCACCACTCGTTTTCCTCGAGAACACTAATACAACAAGCACTCTGGCTCGACCGAAGCGTCAGTTCCCGACAGGCGCAGGCGCGAGGATTTATCGATTTAATAGTTGTGAGAACTCTCAATAGGTGCCAGTACCACCGATCACTGGCAGTATTCTTCACAGCTCAGTGCGGGGGGGGGGGGGCGTCACGTTAGCATAGATGTTCTTTGATGAACATGTAATCATGATGTAGTTCGGGTTGACCTGGCGTTGAACCTTTAACGCCGGCCACTAATTCAAGCTTTGCATTTGTTCCAGTACCAAGGAATCTGACAGGTCCATAAACGTAAGAAATTGGCTGGAAAAAACGCAGCTTTAGCTGTCTTTAAAAGAAAATGCCCACGCTACATATAGAAAATAGACATACCATCCACCCGGTAATATATCACCAGGTGACTGTGTTGATTAATGGGAAGATGGCGCTGAAATATGTAGTATCGGTTTGAGAACGAAGGTGCGCATGGAAAGAACACGCGAGCACAAGGCACATGCGCAACTGTTTGTAAGCAGCTGTACGTAATGCATGATTTTTTATGACAGAAATACGCACGCAAATGCTCGTATGTACAAGTGCGTGAGCAAATATATTCGTATGGCATGAAGACGGATGGAAAATGTTCGTACTTCGTTGGGACAGCAAATGATATGCTCGTGACGGATGACGTGCCCCCCCCCCCCCCCCCCGCCTGCTCTTGGGAGCTGAGCCCTCCCAATTCCGTCTATAGCGGGCCAGCTGCGATTTCAGAAGTGCATTGACCTTTTCGCCGAGGAAGAGGTGCTTGGGAGACGAAATGCCGGCGTGCTCCATATGCCAGAAGTGTCCAAAGTGCTTCAAGAACCTTCCGATTCAAGGGAAATTCTGGAAGGGTTCTTGCCCAAGCACGATCAAAACAGAGACAAGCTGAATACCCCTGTTGAGCTCTCCGTCGGTGGTCCGGACCTGTCGCCATACTCTGCCATGCAAGAACAACCTGTGTCTCGTCGCCGACCATTCCGGCGTGTTGCTCTCGGGCCGACACAATGCCTACCGTAAACACCCCTTTTAGAGAGAGCGGTATAAGTACAACGACTCCAGTGTCTAGCCGTTCCGTGCGCACCGCGCCAACAGCAGCGAAGCATGCACACTGTTCTTCGAGTTGGCCAATTCCAGACCTCGTGCCGATCTAAACGCCATAACTAAACGGGGCTCGAGAGGGGCTATCCCAGCTGTAGTTCTACCAGATGGCTGTTTTTATAACCGCTGATTTTAGTTTTTTCATGTTTCATCGATACATCAACCACTGACGGTTCAAAAATTGCCATTGCAATGAGCGCGTTTATGACTACCGTTGTTGCCTGAAGTGCTGATATATATATATATATATATATATATATATATATATATATATATATATATGTATGTATATATATATATATATATATATAGTACATATATACATTTGCGAACATTTGCGTAAGTTTATTGTTTTGGAACAATGCGTACGTGGTCTGTTCAAACGCGCTTTTTCCACACGAACTTTCATCCTGAAGAACTTTTGTCCTGACAAGCTTTTGTCCTGGCGAAGTTTTGCAAGGCGAACTTTTATCGATGCGTACGTTTTTCATGCGTATTTTTAGCCATGCTACGAAAAATCGCGTACGCACTTCCACCATGCGTAATTTGTGCCCTACGTGCATTTGCTTACAAACCATTGCATACGTATCTTATGCAGGCGTATTTTTCCGTGCGTACTTTTTTTCCAAAATTGCCATCAACAGTAGTGATATAAGGTCTCTCTCATCATTTTGCTTTGCTCGGGTTCGTTTGCTCACGTGCCGGACTACTGTGAGCATGATATACAGTATATGCCTCACGGAGCTATGACTGTGTCTCTGCGCAAAAGATGTTTTGATTTCAGCAGCAAACTACTGTTTTACATTTACTGTTCAATACAGATCGATAGGAGCGCCAGCCTTCTTTTCAGGGGAGTCTGCTCTCCCTCGTGCATACGTCCGTGATGTTGCGGTCACGCCAACTCTCATTAAAACAGTGTGCATTCCACCATGTTCCCATTCAAAGATTGGCATTCTGGCAGATTCTTTACACTTTCTACGCTATTTGCGAGTGCCGGTGGTGTTCTCGTCGTCCGCTTCTTTTTCGGTTCGGGGTAGAGAGAAGTGTCCTCACCGTGGCTGTACCCATCGGAAAGAGTAGCCCAAACACGTCGTCGTCGAAAAAAATGTCAACTGAATAGCACGCGCTGTCTTATTGACGCTGCCCCAATGACGCGCTGCCTTATTGACTGATATGATATATTACTGCTTCAATGACACGTGCTGTCTTATTGACGCCGCCTCAACGACACGTACTGTCTTATTGACGCTGCCTCAACGACGCGCGTTGTCTTATTGACGCTGCCTCAATGGCAAGCGCTGTCTTATTGACGCTGCCTCAGCGACACGCCCTATCTTATTGACGCTACCTCAATGACCCGCGCTGTCTCATTGGCACTGCCTCAATGACACGCGTTGTCTTATTGACGCTGCCTCAATGACCCGCGCTGTCTCATCGGCATTGCCCCAATGACACGCGTTGTCTTTGTTTTTGTGTATATAAAAACACCACTCTTAGAGAAAATATGCTGCAAGGCTACCAAATAAGGGACGTTTTCTTGCTGGGCTAGTAGGTCCACAAAATGTCAGCCTTACGCCGCATGAATAACAGCGTACGCCGCTACGGTTCCGCGACGGCGCAAACGATGACGATGAAACTAGCATTACGGAGCGCGTCAGCCAGTGACGTGGTGGTGCAGTCGTGAGAGTTCTTGAGGTCGGCTTGAGGATCGGAAGGCAACGATGCTGTGCGAAGTGAGCAAACAGCACACTGTCAACCTTCAACTACTTTTAAGTGCAGGGATCTGGTCAGATTACCACAACCGAATTCCTTCTAAAAAATCGTTTGGAGCTGGTCATAACACGCGATTTTTTCTGCTCATCGCGGTTAACAGTGGTGATGAACAGTTAGGAGAATATCAACAAGCATGCAGGGACTCCCAAATGACTCACCAAAAAGGAGACCTGCACAGACAATGGGTGTAGTTTCCCAAAATTAGTTGGGGGAAAAGAGAGAGCAGGCAAAAGTAACCTTATTTATCCCCACATTACGCCAACAAATATATTCCTCAACGGATTTCCGCCACGCTCTTCTCAAAGTTGTGCGGTGAGTGCATTAGTGTGGGGTGGGGGCTGGGGGAGGGGCGTTATAGTATTGCGCTCCGCGGCTGCACGCTGCATCTCTTTCTGTCCCGCGACTGCTGCAGGTCGGCGACCTGGCGCTGGTGAGGATCCAGCGGTACCTATGGAATGTCCTATGTTCAGCACATATAGATAGGACAGTAGCATTGGCCTTATCCCTCGGAAAAACCAGGAGAATAGAGATATAGTTAAGTTATAGTCCCCAACACTAGAACACCAGCCTAGATAAAGTAAATATTAGTAAATGATGAATACCAACTATCAATAGAGATATAGTAAACCTAACTATATCTTTTATTTCCTAATTTTTCCGAGGGATAAGGCTAATAGTACTGTCTTATCGACCTGACTAATGCTTCTCGCTAATGCACTGAACAACTTACGTAATTTTGAACCGATGTTCAACACACACTAAACCTTATGTGTAAGACATTTGCGCCCGTGATTGAGTGTCTCCAGTATACACCACAACAAATAACAACGTTCGTGGTGCTTCTCGGTGCATAAAAGCTGTCTGTGGCGTAGTTCCGCCAAATAGGCTCGGGGACTGAGCATACCAAATTTACGAGACCTACCAAAAAATCGGTCGCCGACCGGAGTTTTCTACGGATTTGGCCAACTTTCTTTGCAAAATTGGGAAGGCTGGTGTTCAGGTGAGGGGCGGGGGTGGCTGAATAGGGAGCTACGTCCCAGCAACATGACGTCGCTGTTCACTGTGTGCTACTCAGTGCATATGAAGATGAAGGTACCATGAAAGACAGCAAGCAAGTAGTTAACAACAAGTGCCGGTTGTCATAACGCGGACTTACAAGGTATGGTCGATGCGACCGCCCCCCCCCCCCCCCCACCCCATTCTTCTGCTTTCAAACTAGGAAAGTAGAGCCTAGCTGAAGACGCCAGTAGCTTTGCTTCAGGGATATTTCAAGATTAATCATAACTTTTTTACTATCATCTCAATAATGGACCTAATTATTCCAGATCAAAAAGGTGGAACTTTCCTAAAAATCGGTTTTCCTGCTCTGCAATCTCATATTTACTAGACCATTCTTTGAAGTGACACAACGTCTAAAATTAGCCGATGAGCTAATTGGTTGCACGTTGTTAAGTGCATTTGGGGGAATATTTTGCATCTAGATACGACAGTAGTAATAGTCTTATTCTTCGAAGAAAACCCAGGAAAATGAGTATACAGATTCGCTGATATTTCGGCCACATGCGTTCATCGGGACGTACAGCAATAGTGAAATAAAAATTGCATGCCGATGATCCCACTCGATTTTTTTTTTCTCGAAGCAACGCGCAGCAAACGCATGAACTCGCCGATATAGACTATTTACAAAGCTAAGCGCTAACTGTGTGAAAAAATATGAGAACGACACTATCTGTGTCAGGGAGTCCGTACGCCCTTTTCCTTTGAGATATAATAAACACCTGAGATGCGCCCAAAATAAAACAGTGGTGATTGTGTTGTCTTTGCGAGACGTCAAAAACAAGAACATTCGCCCCTTTCGGTGACCATTTTTGGAAAAACATGCTCAGGCTGAAATCCAGGGATGTACGGACTCTATACCCCTTTTAGAGCTCAAAGTCATCTGCAGAGCACACGACCATCGAGACAGGAAAATAAATGAAACTATTCTGATAAAAAGTCGATGTGCCGACCTTTGCGTGCCGGGGCCATCGTAGCCCATCATGCGAACGTGAAATATGCCTTGATGTGATGCGTGTTAGCTTAAATCATTTACGTGTGTTAGTGATGCCTGAGGCAT